TTTTGTACCGTTATGAGAATCTGATTGTGAGCAAAATGCCGACAGATTTTCAGTCGTAAAAATTTGAGAGCATCTTTTTATGGTGGTCATTTCATTTGAGTGGCTGAGAAAAATTGGTTTTGATCGCAAAAACAACGAACAAATGAAGTGAACGCTGCAGATTCGCTATTTATAGAAGATAACAGAGAACCCAATGATACGATTAAAAAAAGTCATCTTGAAAGGATCACTATGATGTGAATGATGATATTTTAAAGTTCCATATTCAGAATAGTGCAATTTTCAGAGCGAAGTTCAAGTGCTTACTCAGGCTGAGGTTCAAGCTAATGCTCTTGCAAACTTCAGATCTAATTCTGAAATATGGAAGCAATCTAGAAATTTTCGATTTCGAAACTTGTTACAAAACTGGAAGCTAGAATGTTTGATGGTGTTCGAAACATTGAATTTTGATCAACCAAACTCTGGAATGCTGGTCAATGGTATAACATTTAAAGCAGAATCAAAGCAACGATCAGATAAGACAGTTGAATTCCATCTGATAATAAGAACTGAAAGCAAATAATAAGACAAACCATTATGATTCGATTGAAATCTATCAAAATGGGATTATTCGGCAAAAGCAAAACCGATTGATAGTAAAGGATATCGAAGTGTCGGTATGCAATTCAATCGCGAATACAAAAGCACTGATCATGGGAAATAGTTTAAATAGCTGGCATTGTGAATGTTTGAATGTCAACTGAATCATAGGAGAGTTTTTGTGTCTGATAAACTCGTTTCATTCAACTGACATCCGATTGTCGGCGATAATATTTTGATAGTGATTCATTTCGTTTTTTGAAGGACACTACTCATTGTTGCGTTACTTGCTGTTGTTCTTAGAAGAAACACTCAGTGTTTTAGATAGATTCTGCTCGATGGTAATTAATTTTGATTACATTGTGCATCTTAATGACTCAATACGAGCGGGAGCAATGATGAGTAATAATAATTCATCTGTGTAATCAATGTAACGGTTCTATGCACTCGATTTGTGATTTCCGAACTTTTTAGATTTTTTGATTTCGAAACTTTTACAACCTGAAGCCGAAATGCTGACAGTGTAAACAGTAAATTGCTCAACCAGACATTAAAATGCTCTGACGATGAGTGGTGTAACATTAGCATTCGTTAAATTAGAAAGGATTATATAAAGAATTCGAAATTGATATTATAGTAACGAAATGTTGTCAATTTTTTAAGTTTCTTCCGAAAGTTTTGAGTCATCTTCATAGATTACTACATTTTCACTTCCATTTGATAGCATTTCAATCGTGCTAGTTTATTCTTTTATGTGTGTTGATTGATTAGATGATAAAAATGATCGATAGATCAGAAACAATCGAAAATCGACACAAACAAAATTTTTGTTTTTTAAAGGATTCGAAAAGCATCTCTCGATTGCAAAATCAACAGTGATTTTGTATCAGTCATAAAAGCATCAACTCAATTTCTATCAGTTTACGTGAATAAAACATTCTTCAGTTCGCTAAACATGTTATTTTAGGATTAGGATTAGTATTGGTTGGGTTAATCAGAGGGGATTATTCTCAATTATATAGGATAAACTCAGAGATTTATTCACATAAAAGAACTAGAAATTGTTGACGATGACGATAATGTTTTCCAAAAAGTTTTATCTAATATAGTTTACTCTAACATAGTTCTATATAGTTTATTGGTGAGAATCAAAAAAGTTGGATTTCTAAATCAAAAACAACTTTTCTGATGCCTTTGAATGCAAAATTCCCATGCTTAAGTGCTTGACTGCCTGCTGTTAGGTCATGAAAGATGAAAATTGATATGAGAACGCAAACTGACAATCACAGCAAATTCCGAATGTTCTGCAAAATATTGTTAGTATTGCAAAAGAATTTTTCCTTACATGCAATATTAATAACAATAGCAACAACATGAATGTAATCTCAACCTTGCCTTTTCTATGTCATGATTATAGTGAACGAGGATCATTTAAAAACTGGTTCTTTTCTAAGCACAATTTTAAGAGATCATATTTGCCAACTACGATACAATTGCATGCTGCTTATGCATGTAACAAACGTTGAAATTAACTAATATGTATGTTCACATGAAAGCTGAGGTATTATTTAACTTACTAATACTGTGATTACTATTACTGTATCATTATTGTTACTGTTATTGTTAGGTATAACTGATATTTGACATTATTATTAAGGAAATTGACAATTTCTCAAAAAAGCAATTTTCCCATTGAAATCAAATTTCTTTATTATAAGACTGAATCGCTCCTAGTAACAGTGCCTTTTGATTCATGCATTGTGCAGTGTAATGAATGTAAGTAATTCTATGAAAGAATGTAAGTAATTTCTCCATTGATCATTTTAACTGTATCATTGATCAATATCACAATCGATCGAAAATTCCACCAATTACCAATTCAGGTCAGATCCATAATATGAAATTGAAATTTATGAGGCTATTCTCATTTCAGGAGAGAGACTGAATGAAGAAAGGAAATTTTCAAAAACCCTGTGACCCCTTCCACCCCCCCCTCCTCCACCCTAGCTCTTTATACCCTTTTACTAACAAGCGTAAGTCATTGGGTATATTTTCCATTTGAACTATTCATAAATGAAAGTTCCATTCGAAGGTGATATGGATTAATCAAACAATGCAATGATTAAGAACTGAAAGCGATGATGATTTCATAATGCCATTAAAATGTTGACTCTATCAGACTGGAATTGAAACAATGACATTGAGTCATTGTTGACACATTTTAAATATTTCTCAAGACTGTTCTTTAGTTTTTTCGTTAAGAAATTCTGAATTTTTGTTACTGACGGAATCATTAAACTGGCATCACAATGATTTCAACCAACTTGATATCAAACACCAATTAAGGAGTGGTCTCAGGACCCAAAATATTGATCAATGTAGTGATCAAGTTCAAATATTAGTCCTATAGCGGAGAGATATTCTCTAATCTTCAAGAAACAAACGCTCGAACAAGATGCTCAAAGTGATTAATACTCGCTCTGGGCGAAACCTTGTCAATCATTTATGATGTTTTATCGACATCGCTGTGTTTTTCTTTGGTTTACTAATAATAAATTAATCAGAATCATGATATTTCATAATTATTGTGATCAAAATAATGATTCGTCCTAAAATCACACGTGAACTCTAACAATATCTGATTCAGCAACTATACAAGATTTAGAGAGTTTAACTAAACGATCAAAATTAAGATTTTAAACTATGAAGTTGTTAGACCATACTTGTGCCCAAGCCATAAATTTTGTTAATAATGATAACTTTTCAATGCTGAAAGGTCTTTTAGGCAATACATTTTCTGTGCATCGTTAAAGTCGACGAATCTTCTTTCATTTATTTTTAAGAATTCATTAATTTATTCCTTACAATTAGCACATATTTCAATTCGTTCCAAGGGATGAGTGATAGAGTAGTTGAAATTCCATTTTAAACATTTTAAAATCAAAATTTGATGCCACTTAAAGGCAGTACCCATGAAATTACCAACAACAGAATGAAGTCTTTTCCATTGTAGTTCGGAAAAAAACTTACGTTCATTGTTTGATGATGAGTAGAGCAGAATATGTATTAATATATCTACGAAGATAACGAATAAAGAACTTTGTACGTGTGTACGTTTGTTGGGTGAGTAGAGCAGTACGACTGGGTTCTGGCTGATATTCTAGAATAGGCTCGAAACTGGAACATAAAAGAGAGGATTTATCGTGGATATACGACGAGTGCTTGGATACATTAAAGCCGATAAATCATCAAAAGATTCTCATCAACGAAATGGGAAATGGAATGCGAAAAGGACAAATGGGGAAATTAAATGAAAGATGAAATGAATAAATGAGTAGATGAAAGCCTTCTCGGTGGATAGGGAAATGAAATGAATTGATAAAATGGGAATAATTGGAAATAGTAATAGTGCAAATACAATAGCAAATTAAATTGCTTTCATTTCAGTCAACGAATGTAGATGGAGAAACAAAGGCGTTTCTATCAACGATGAAGTCACAGATATTTTAAAGTACCATTTTTATCATTAAAGATTTCTATCAAAATTTAAAATGCCACTTAAAAGTTGAGAAAAAAATTAAAATTTGATCATTTAAAAAAAATTGATATCATCATTAAAAATTTTCTGGTTGTATTATTTGTGAGCTAACGGAACGGAATGCTACTTGAGGAAGTTTTACGGAAACAATAAGTGAGGAACAGATTGGAGATGAAAACAATACTGAGTGAAGCGGAGATGGGAGGCGATCGTTTGATTTTTGTGATGACAATGACGATGATGAAAATAATGTATGATAGATGATATATTATTTGCTGCAAAGAATGTCTAATGTCCCTTCTTAAGATAATAATCTCTGCGAGTTAATTAGTTTGATGATGACGATGTGTTCGTTCATGCAAACATACACAAATATATAATGCCAAATAAGTCGAGCAACCCAAAACGCGAGCGATCGAATGCACTTCGTAAGTAAAATAGCGACTAATGATCATTAAAGACTGAATTGATACATGATGTTGAGTGTGTGCATTTGATTGATGCAAATTGAAATGGAAAGTTACTGCAACTAGAGTACTTACAATGACAACTGTCATTCACATGCCATTTTTCATGCCATTTTCGTGTCATTTTCATACACTTTCATGCCATTTCGTTCATTTGTACAAAAAAATTTTTCATATTCATGGAAATACTCGCTCAAGTTCTTTAAAGTTGAAAGTTGCGATTTTATGTGGCTTCCAGGAGTGAAACATGGAGATTTGATTAACTTTCGGATAAACTTACCATTGTAGACACTGAGGGTTTTTTCGGTGGAGGTGGCGGTACTTTTGTGGTGGATGACGGACAGATCGGTATGAAGACATGATCTTCGTTTGGTATTTTCGCAATTGGCGGTGCGCTGCCTACTTTGGTGAATGCTGATCCTGAAGTGAGAAGAGCTGAATTTTTGCGGGTGAGTAAAAGAATAATGATTATAATTCGGTGGATATTCTCTATCAAATCGCTGAATCAACTTTTTTAAGCAATACAATTCGCTTTGACGACTCTAGTTCGACAGCTGCTTCCGTTTGAAATTTAATTCCTTGGGGAAGTTTTTTCACGAAAAGCAAATCTTTGCCATTCATCGAAACTTGATTCAGTTACTTCTATGTGGTTTTAGTCAAACAGGACAAAGAATCAATTGCAAGCTCGATGTCATTTATTTGCTGTTCTTTGTAAATTGATCTAGGTAAACATTTGACTTTTCGGAATTAAAGCTAACAGTAAGTAGGTAGATCGAACGCAAATGAATGGTTTCGTAAACAAATTTTTTTGCAGTTCACTATGATTTCCTCCGCAAAACGATTGCACCTTGTCGGAATTGAACTTAATTAAACGTGATGTTTTAATGAACCCAATCAAACAGCTCATGAACTATGGAATAAGAGGATAGATGTCCTATTGCTAGCAATTTTCCGAAATATTTGATCTCGAAAACTGAACTTTGCTATTGCTTGCTAAAGAAAAGTCAAATGATGCCTCGAAAGCAACACAACGTTTCGAAATGCTTCCTTGAAACTGAAATCAATTTTATATATCCCCCCCCATCCTGCATCCTCTGTTGAAATAACTCCTACCACCGTTCAAAATAGCAGAATTGGCTGGAGGCGAATTCGGTGGCATTCTATCTTCAGATATCGCGTTTCGTTGTCGAACATCCTCTGATACTATCGGAGTAGAAGTTTTCCTTTGGCGTTGTTTTGCTAATTTCTCCTCCAGTTCATTCTTTTCCTTCAAATTGAATTAATCAATCAATTAACTGATCAGTCAATTAACTGATCAATCAAATCAGTTGCAAGTATCCTCTCAAAACAAAAATGAAAACAAGTCAAAAATGCACTGCACAAACCTGCACATATCGATTCGTCACCGAATTGTCTAAACTTTGTTGTTTTTGTGGTACTTTCGGTACACCTTTATGATGAACAATTGGTACAATTGGAGCCGAACATTTCGGTGTGTTTGCAGGACTGATGGAGGAGGGATTCGTTATATCCGAGTTAAGGGGATCTCGTATCGTTGCTACCGATTGCTCTTGTGTACAGTTCACTTGTTGTTTTGAGACAAATGATGAATTTTGATCATATCTGACTGAGGATGGTTCGGATTGTTTCATTTGCAGGTTTCTTTCCCAAACGGGTTTGGATTCGATGGACGATTCTTCCACTGGTATCACTCCATTGGT